ATAACTAATATGTCTAATATATCGTATACGTCAAATATATCCGATATGTCATATACGTCGAATCTATCTAATATATCTTATTTGTCGATCATGTCAAATATGTCATATATGTCAGATTTGTCGATCATGTCAAATATGTCATATATGTCAGATTTGTCAGATTTGTCGATCATCTGCGCCACGTAGGTCCTATCATATTTTATTCATTCACAGTAACAATTCGCTAACAAGTCTCATTAAGATTTGTTAACAATCTGTAATGAAATTTGTTATACGATTTCGTTTAAACGAATCGTACAAAATTCATTATAATGATTCATTATAACGAACCTTTTAACGAAATTTGTTAACGATTTGATTCGCTTAACAAAATTTTATTATGAATCGGTTAACGAAATTTGCTATGATTCGTTATAATGAAATTCGTTAAAGAATTATTAAACGAAATTTGTTAATGATTCGCTTAACAAAATTTCATTATGAATCGTTTAACTAAATTCGTTACGATTTGTTTAAATAAAATTCGTATAATGAATCATTCAACGAATTTTGTACGATTTGTTTAAACGAATTTTATTACGAATCAGTTAATGAAATTCACTATGATTCATTTAAACGAAATTTGTTATAATAAATCATAATGAATTTCATTAACCAATTTGTAACGAAATTTCGTTTAACAATTTTTTAACAAATTTTGTTTAAACGAATTGTAACGAATTTTGTTAACCGATTCGTAACAAAATTTATTTAAACAAATCATATGAAATTTGTTATAACGATTCATTATAACAAATTTCATTTAAATGAATCGTAATGAATTTTGTAAACGAATTGAAGCGAATTTTGTTACGATTTGTTACTTTTACGAGATTCGTCAATTTGAAGGTGAATTTCATCTATCAAAGACGAATTTCGCATTTGAATACAGTTTTTGTTAGTTCAAAGATGATTTTTGCATTCAAATGCGAATTTTGTCAATCGATGATGAATATCTTCATTTTGAATACGAACTATTATATTCGAATACTTTTTATATACAATTTGCTTACTACAAAAATTGAGTAGATCATATATATTTAACTTCTTTTTAATAAATCGGAATATCCTTCCTTCTTTGTAGTTTTTTTTCTTTTTTTAGTAAAAGATCTTTCTTTCTTTTGGATAATAGTTCTTTTACTTATTTTTTCTTTTTTTTTTATAGTAACAAACGTTCTTTCTTTTGGATAAGGTAAGTAGTTTTTCAGAATTCTTTTGGTAGTGGTTTTTTGGATTTTTGCTTTTTTTTAATAGGAGTGGATTTTTTGCTATTGGTTAAGATAAGTCTACAAATCGGGATGGTAGTTTTTTCAGATTTTTACTAATTTTTTTTCTTTTTTTAATAGAAGTAGACTTAATATTATTGATTAAGGTAAGTCTATAAATCAGGATAGTTGTTTTTTGAATTTTTACTAATTTTTTTTCTTTTTTTAATAGAAGTGGACTTTTTTGCTATTGGTAAGATAAGTTTACAAATCGGAATGGTTGTTTTTTTTCAGATTTTACTAATTATTTTCTTCTTTTTATTAGGAGTGGACTTTTCTTGCTATTGACTAAGGTATATTACAAATCGGAATGGTGATTTTTCAGATTTTTACTAATTTTTTCTTTTTTTAATAGAAGTGAAAATTTTTTCTATTGGTTAAGATAAGTATACAAATCAGAATGGGTTTTTTTTTTGGATTATTACTAATTTTTTTCTTTTTTTAACAGAAGTAGACTTTTTTGCTATTGGTTAAGGTAAGTCTACAAATTGGGATAGTAGTTTTCTCAGATTTTTACTAATTTTTTTTTTTTTTAATTAGGAGTGGATTTTTCTTGCTTATTGCTAAGGTATGTTACAAATCAGAACTCTTTTTTTTGTTGTTTTTTTTAGAAGTGTATTTTTCTTGTTTATTGGTTAAGATATGTTACAAATCGAGACTCTTTTGTTGTTTTTTGGGATTTTTACTATTTTTTTTATATTTTTTATTAGGAGTGGATTTTCTTTCTTATTGCCTAAGCTATGTTACAAATCGGGACTCTTTTGTTATTTTTTGGATTTTTACTATTTTTTTTTCTTTTTTAATAGAAGTTGATTTTTTTGCTATTGGTTAAGGTAAGTCTACAAATCAGGATAGTAGTTTTTCAGATTTTACTAATTATTTTCTTCTTTTTATAGGGGTGGACTTTTCTTGTTTATTGGCTAAGATAAGTCTACAAATCAAAACTCTTTTGGTAATGTTTTTTCAGGTTTTACTAATTTTTTTTTCTTTAATAGGAGTGATTTTTTTTCTTATCAAATATAGCAAATAATTAAATTTAATAAATTTGTAACAATCGGAGGCTTATTATTTATAAATATACTTTTCTAATACCACATCTTATCCTAATACCACTCTTACCCTAATAACTCATCTTATCTTAATTCCTAATTCTAATCCAACTTTAAACAATTCTAACTAAATAAAATGAACTTACTTGATTAACAGTAATTATCATTTCTTGATATAACAATGTTTGTTTCATTTGAGCTCTTTGAAGAGACAATGGAATAGATGCTAAATTAGCTTTTAATATATTATCAATTTCTTTGAATATGATGTTATAAATCAATAAAAGTCCAACTGATGGATTTAATCCATAATAATTCTTAATACAAGTATATTATGCCTCCTTTTCTAATTCACATTCAATTGTTTTACTAATTCCTTTAGCAAAATATCATGATCAACATGTTTTTTAAGAATCCCATTAATAGATTTAACACGTTGAGTGGATTCAATTCCTGCTGTAAAAATCTTTGTATATGATAAAAATCTTCAACAAAATTTATTACTAAATCACCATGTAATTTAGACTTACCTTTCTTTTTGACATTCTCAACAATATAATAAATACATAACAAATGGTATGCTTGTGGATAGATATTATGAATAGCAGCAATTACTGCAAGATCACTATCTATAAAAATTACTTTAGGTGAAACATTATTAACTGATTTTAACATGCATTGAAAAATCCACTCATATGCAACTTGAGTTTCATATTTAATTAGAGACTGACCAATAATTCTTGTCTTGAAATTATTATCAATACAAACAAACAAACTTAATGCTATATTATAACGATTTGTTTTGCTGTATTATCATGAATAATTATATCATGGAATTTTGGTCATAAATCTGTAAGTTTATTATTTGGACCTTCCAAACGTGGTATAATAATATATTCTTGATTTTCATTACGTTGTTTAAGAAGATATGATAACATTTTAGCAGCATCAATTCATTATAAATTCTTACACCTCTAAATTTACTGATTGCGTTATATAAATTCTTCTTCTTAATATGATGCTCTGAAAATTTTTTTAACAAGAAGATCATACTGTTGACTAATACCTAAATGACTAGAAATAGTATAATGCTCAATTTTATTTAAGATTTCTTGTGAAAGCTTTAAATTTTTTGGAGCTAAATTAATAGTTTCCAAATTGCATTGATGATTATGATTATTCAAAAGTTGTGTAAGTTTAATAGTACTTGTACGTTTTCTAAGGTAAAAATTGATATGCTATAAACAATTTGTTTTGTCCGAAACAGTATCATGATTAGTATTAATGTCTTCAACTTTTTTTGTCTGATTTATTCCAAATTTTTAACAAACATATTCTTGGCATTGAATAATAGACTTATCGATAGAATCAAGATCCTTGTGATATTTATTAGCAACAAAATCCTGTTGCTTTGCATATGCTTCAACTGCAATATGAACAGAATTCCAATCATTAAATATATCTCCAACTTGAAGTTTTATTTCATATTCATCAGTTATTTCACTTTGATTGATATCATTTAAATTGATTTGGTCATTTATGATTATTTGTAGAAGAAAAGGGTTAAAGACAAATGAGTATAATTATAAGTTATAGAGAGAAGGTGAATTGTTTAGAAAGATTAACGAAGCTTAATTGAATTTATATAAATATTATATCATATTTCATCATATTTTGTAATACTGCAGTTTCACATATCAATTTTAATTATTATATTACTAACAATAATATTTTTTAATTATATTTATTAAGATACAAATTTATTATAATAAATAATTATATGAACGAATAGAATATTTCTTTAAACATAGTTATCTTGATAAAACATACATGCTTACTTATATACATGGGCTGAAAATGTTACATATTATGTTAAAGGATTTGGTAGCTATAATTTTATTGAAGTTTGATATATTAATAGATGTGTTAGATTCATGCGAATTAATAATTTTTGATAAAAATCAGATAAATTGTAATTTCTGTAATTGAATAGATTATAAAAATTTTTAATAAATATTATTTCAATAAAACTATATACTGTATATATTATATAAAACTATAATTATATATTTTATATATAAAAGTTTTATATCTTAAAAAACTATATAAAATAGTTTTTTAAAAAAAATTCTGTATGTTTTCAATATAAATTTGTATGCTTCAATTTTCAAAATTTTTTTTGTATAATTTTTGTAAGTTTTGACTTTTTGACTTTAAAAAATTTATGTATGGTTATTTTCGTAGGAAAATTTGCAATAACTGTAAATAATTGTATGAATTCTGTACGCACTTGTACAAAAACTGTATGAAAATTGTATCATGCGTTTTCATAGGGCTAGAGGTTCTACAAATAATTATAATTGCAAAAAAAAAAGAACTTAATAACTAATATAATACTTTATTAATATTAAAACTACAACATTTTCTACAATTTACAAGGCATCAAAATTAATAAATCTTGAAGCTTTTCTTTTTTCATATTCATCTTCTCTCTACAAATTAACAAAAAGTGGGAAATTAATATAAAGAAAATAAAACTTACACTTCAAAATTTCTTACCTTTTCTATATAATTCAAAATGAATACAACGATGGCTAAAATTATCGTCACAATTATTAAAATCATTAGTACCCATGGTACCCAATCACCTGGATGAATATACAATTCGATTGACCACCTGTTAAAGAAGAGATTCACACGTTAACATAAAAAATTTTGGTTTGGATTTTATCTCGGATAATTCAATTTGACTCACGAGGTTGGATTATCAACTCCTTCGGGTTGGTAAGGGACGATGATAAGTTGTGAATTAGGTATTACTCCTGCTAAACTGGTATAATATGAACTCTAATGATATTGTAATTTTTTGTATGTATAAGTATGAATTCAAATCAAAAAATTAAATGCGTCAAGTGAATTCATATATAGTATGTCAAATTGATAATTTACCTGAGCCCTTGAAACTCCTACGAACAATTCTTCGACGTAATTATTTGTACGACCAAGTCCAAAAAGCGAGTACGGTGTTTGTAATGATAAATATCCACTCTGTGAATATTGTGCAACTATTTTTATATGCATCAAATATCTTAGATACTAGAAGAAATTATAATTGAAAAAGCTATTAAAATTAACATACCTTGGTTGGCTCTTTTCCTTCCAGATGTATCAAGTACAGTGAATTTAAATTCTGCACCGGGATAATTTACTCCAAAATTCTATGGTAGAATAATATTTTAATGAATTTTTTTAGATATTTATAATGATGATATTACAACCAACCTGTTTGTGCCCCACTCCGTTTAATACTATTAATTATATGAAAACAATTTCTTTAGTATGCGATCTAATGCGTCAATCTAACATAGTGGATTCAAATAACATACCTAGAGTCTTAAGGAAGAATGCATCATTAAAATAATTGTTGTGTATCATTTGAACATCCCTTGCCGCTGTTTTATCATGAGTAGTTGTGAGTACCATAATATCCATCGTTCCCTAATAATAAGAAATTTTATTATATCAAACAAAGCTTTTCCCTGTAAAAAAAATATAAGTGTATATAAAGTTCTATTTACATCTTCATCAAGATCAAGAAAAGCTGCATTTTTGGCAGTTTTGATGTTATCAAGAGGTTGAGCACCATCATTCACTTTGACAAATGTTCTTCTCTGGGATGCAGCTGCTAAACCATGACACTTGTGGGTTGTACATAAAATTGACTCTAACAGTGTTACATGTGATTCTTTGCCGTTTGAGGTGACCACAAGTAAATCTGGATATCCATCAAGATTATAATCGCCTAGCAAAAAAATTAGATAATTAAAACTGAACAGGTATATAAGCAAAATTGATTGAAATGTAATTTACCAATGCGAAGAGAAACCGGTAGAATTCCATTAAAATCCGGATCTAGTAATACAATATCTTCTCCAGAAGGCAGCTCGTCCTGAAGATCCAAAACGACATAATCCTAATATATAAACAGAGATATTTAGCTCTATAATGACCTTTAAAAAAAATTTTTTTTTTCTTTAAAAAAAAAATCTCACACTATTTGATGTATCCGTTGTCATATCAAAGCTGAAATTATCATCGGCTATACATAATTCTGATACCTTTCGACAATTTTTAGAATTTTTATTTTCGCACAATGGTATTTGATTATTATATGCAATATGAATCTTGCATCCATTGTTACATACTGGAAAAACCATATCTAATGTTCCATCACCATCTAGAATAAAAAACGATAAATAACTTTCAAATTTCAGATTTTCAAAATTTAAATTTTTTCAACAAACCCATATCCGCAAAAGATATTTGACCAACGCCTTGCGGTAAATCACCAAATTTGCTAAACTCATATCCATTAATTGTGCTCGTCCATATTTGATAGGAAATTTTTCCGGAAGTGTCTTGGCATGTAAGGAACAAATCTATAAAGGATACAAAATTTAAATATCATATTTATCAAATAAATTCCTACATTTCTCGCTTTCATACCTGATCTGCAATCACCATTAAGGTCGATGAAAGCATTCGAATGTGGATCTGACAATATACAAGGTGGAATATCTGAATCAGATTGCAAAGGTAATGGCTTCCTAAAAAATCCGTATAAAAGTTTCAATAAAATTGACAAATCTTTCTCATAATATTCAACCTAAAGAGTTATTTGATTTTCTCACACTTGAAATAAGTCTGACGTTCCATTATTATATGTATTTTGCCATATCGAAAGTTCGTTTACACCATTATCATAACTGTGTCCTATTAAATCAATTTTCATATCACCATCAAAATCAAATGGAATAGGTTGTTGATATGTAGCTGATGGTACAATAATAAAATTAGGATCTAAAAAAAGAATATTATTAATGATTTTAATAAGAAATCGAACATGTTAATACAATGACATTATAGAAGTCAGATATTACTAAATGTATCATTCCCATATCCAAAGTATACTCTCATAAAAAGCGGATCTTTTTTTCTATTGTTACTTGATGGATTGGTTTGTCCCATAACTAAAATATCCAAATTTCCGTCATAGTTATAATCTCCAGGTAATATGTTTGTAATTATAAAACTATTCTCCTCATTTGGTGATATTTTTATATTTGCGGAAGGTGATATGGTAAATTTAAAATCCACTATAAATAATAAATCAAGTCAATTACATAATTAATATATACATACATAAATTGAAATATTAGTCAATGTCAATATACCATGATTCCATAAATAGACACTTATGGACCTTTGATCTGAACTTAATACAAATAAATCTGTACTAGAAATTGAAAGATGTTTGATATCCAGTTGATAAAAATAAAAATTAAAAAGAGTTACTTGAAAAATGCTCACTATTTATCAGAATTGAAATCTGCAAAAGCCGCTACTGTCCCAGATATATCTCCTAAGCCAACGTCTTTTAAAAGGTAAAGTGCACTCGTTGAATACTTTTCACGTTGAAATAATGAGTTTGTTTGAGGTAAAAATATTAATAAGACTAAACAGCCTAAATATCTTACAAAAACGGGAACCATCATAAAAAAAAGAAAAACTTTTTATAGAATTGATATAAAATATTAGGTATTTATTGATAAATTTCAATTACGAAATATGTAAAGAAAATAAAATGTTTTCATGATCTCGACCAAAAAAGCCAAAAACTTTTATTGTTAAATCGATTCGATACTATTAATTAACTCAATAGATTTCTTTCAGCTATATCAATCTTTGGAAATACTATGTTACAAGTATAGGCAGTGCGAAATACGAGGCTTAAAAAATTTCACTATTAAATCCTAAATGACGTGGCTTTTATGCAAGGCTAATATTAATTAAGGATAAACGGAAACAGAACAATAAATTTATAAATTATGCCAAAATTACAGTAAATTAACCTAATTATTCAGTCACATCTAATTGAAACATTATTCGATCATAAGCTTTGTTATAAGAACTTGTTAGGAATGAAATTGTTTATGATAGAATACTTCTTAAAAGTTTTCATTATTACAATAATTGTGAACAATAAAGAGAAGATTTTTTTTTTATAATTAAAAAAAAAAAATAATGAAAATATCTAAAATCTCGTTCATTATAAAGATTTAATTCTAAATATTATTTTATGGTAAAGTTAATTATGTATTATTAGATAATGGTATAAAATCTTATATAGCAAAAGCATTCTATTTCTCAAATTATCTAATGATCAATAATTTCAACTATAGGTTTACAGCTAATTTCATAATTTATGGATCATTAATAATTTTTCAGTTGCATTCAGTCACAATATTTTATAGTAATTTCATTATAAAATATTTTCAGTCACATTCAGTCACAATTTATTAATGGTCCATAAATTATAAAATTAGCTATAAATAAAGATAATTCTTTGATTTTATTAACTATATATTAAAGGAAAAAATAAAAATTTGTATTTAATATATATTATTATTTTACTAATCTATTATATATAAAAATTTAAATTTAATATAGTGGTTTTTAAATATAATTTTGCTATTTTTATAATCTTTAATATAGTTTTATCTTTTTTAAAATTTTGCAGATTTTTTAATAAGATTTTAATATAATTTAACCAAGTTTTACCTTTACCATTTAGATATCTGACTAAACCTTAGATTTCATCTTTAAAGTTAAAAAAACTAGATGTGATATTACTTTAAACAATTAGTAAAAATTTAGTAAAACTTAAGATTTAGACGTTTAACCAAATCAAAAATGAGTTTAGACAAATAACTTTAGTCTAGTCTAATAGAAAAAGAAAAAACTGCTAGAAAAATAAAAAATGAGTTAATATTAAATTTAAACATATTTTAGCTTAAAAATCATATATAAGTAAAATTGATTTTTCTTGATAATTTACTCTTTTTTATTATAAAATTCTAAATTCAGAAGTTTTGAATAATTTTAAAAGATTATGTCTTAAATTAAAAAAGTTAAGATTATAAATAAATTTTGGATTAAAATATAAGATATTTTTAAAAGGTAATAATAATTAATATATTTTATAAATTTAATATACATTAAATTTAAGACTTTTTAAATATTATTTAATATTTAATTAAATTTAATTAATAAAATATCTCATTTAATTTGTAAATTAAGGATTTTTTTAAATTTAAAAAGTTTTTTAAATTGCAAAAATATCACGATATATTGAAATATTTTTAATTTGAAAAATTATAAATTTTATATTAATATATGGGAGGCAGACTATTTGGCTAATCTCGATTATGTGCACAAATTTGGCTTAATAATAAAAATTAACAAAAATTTTGGATTTCCCTCTTTTTTACTAACCACCTCCCATATAATAATTATTTAATACTAAAAATTATATTTTTTAAATTTACTTTTTTTTTATTTAATATAAAAATATAAAAATTAATTTAATATAATAAAATTGTATTAGAATTTAAAAATAATTTTATTTAATATATTTAATTAATAATATAATCATCTTCTTTTTCTAAATATATATTAAAAAGTAGATTTAATAATAAAATAATATTATCTATAATTTTTTTTTAAATTTTTATATAATTTAATCAAATATTACTAACTAAATTATAAATGTAAACTATATGTTTTATGATTTATTTGAAGAATTAAAAGTAATAGGATATTAAAAATTTTTTTTTAAATTATCACTAATATAAAAATAATATTAAAAATAATATTAAAAAATATATTATATTAAGAAATAATAAAAACAATTAATTTAAAAATAATTGTAAAATTAAGTTTTTAAAGAAATTATATTTTGTTAATTTTCTAAATCTAAAAGATTTTTTTTATATTTATCAGTTATTTTATTTCTTGTAATACTTAGAGTTAGAATTAAAAATCAGAAAATCGTTAAAATTAAAAGTTAATCATAATAATGATTTTAAATCTCAAACTTTGTAAAATTATTTAATGATAATAACTTTAATTCAATTTTTATTAATCTGATTTAAGATTACTAAATGAAATCTAAAATTAGACAAACATTAAATAATAAAAGTAAAACTTAGTTAAATTATATTAAAATCTTATTAAACAATCTGCAAAATTTATAATAAGTTAAAAAACTATATCAAAGCTTATACTTATAAAAATGTGAAATTATATCAAATATTTAATAAAAATTTAACAAAACTAAAGATTAGATATTCAGTTAAATTAAAAATAAGTTTAGATAAGTAAACTTAGTTTAATTAATTGGTAAAATCAATTATACAAATTGATATATAGTGATAGACTTTAACTGCAGGGTTGACAAGCAAATGTTGATTTAAAACCAATTTTAAGTATTCACATAACTTTATAATATATTTCAAAATATGCAAGTAAAGTGAAATTGCAATTTGCTACCTTTTTAGAGATACTTAATCAAATTTTAAATAATGGTAAACCTGATAATCCAATACTTATTTCAGTCTAAAAGCTATTACTTTACAATATTGCAGAACATGATATTTCCGTTTAAGAAACTTGTCATCTACTTCTTAACCTTTCATTATACCAATTGAGTAGAATATTTATATTCTTAAATCTTAATAACTAAATGTTAAGATGGATTTGTAGTATTAGAGAAAGTGAAGAGTTTTCTATAATTGATTCTAGACAGATAGAAAATTATCTTTAAAAAAATATTGGAATTAGCCTATTGAATTTGAGGATTTCTTATTATATCGATTAAGGTGCTTCCTAAACTATTTTTAGAAAATTTGAGTTTCGAAATATTTAAAATAAAATTATTTTTTACAATAAATATCTTTACCTAAACTTCTAATAGGTTTTCCTAAACTTAATTAAGTTTCATCAAGTTTCAAATTTAAAAAAAAATCATTTTAAAGATTTTGAAATAGTTTTTCAATTTTTAAGCTATACATTAAAATAGGTTTGAATAGTATTATTAATATCAATTCTATTTAAACATAAGTTTGCAAAAATTATTGAAATAAATGCATAGAAGAAAATATTGTATATATATTTCTATACATCATCTTTATATAAAGGTTCTTAATAAGAAGAATTTTTATATATAAAGATTCTCCTTCACATTCATTACTAAAACCTCTAATAATTAACTGAAGACAAAACTATTGCATAATCAACTTTTTATAGTATTATACAAGTTAAAGATGGGAACTGTAATTAAATATGTTGCAACTTTTAATGTTACAACTTACGTTGCAATTAGTTTTAACCTATATATGTTGCAACTAATTTTAGCTTATGTTGCAACATTTTGTAAATTTGAAATCAATTGCTGTATCATCTTTAATACAAGTTAATTACAAAATCTACTGATTGAAAAATAGACTTCAATATATATAGCAAGATTTTAGGTATCTGAAAGATAATGATTTAACTTAATAATTTTAAGAACTTATTCACATTAATAAAACTTTTGAATTAATAATATATCTATTTATAAGTACAGAGAATATTGAGGATATATAAATATAAATTGGAAATATATATGAATACTTCAAATATGATGAAAGAGTAATAATAATAGATTGGGGTTTTAGGTCACAAGTTTAACAGATCAATGTTATAGGATAAAATTTGGTTTATTAATAAAATATAAGTAGATTAATACAATTTAATAAACTAAATAAGCTCTTGTTAGCAAACTTATCAATTTATAAATTTTACAATTAATTTTCTGATTAACTTTAACTAAAACTAAACTGAATTTAAATCTAACTCAAAATCTTTAACTTGAAACTCTAACTATAGCAATTTCCTATCCTATTTATATAAAATATTTGATCTACTTCTATTACTAATTTAAGATAAAGTAAAATATTAAAACTAAAGAAACATTATAAACTTCATTAACTTAGTTAACTATATTAACTAATTTAACTAAATAAACATAAGAAACTAATTAAACTTAAATAATTATATAAACTTAGCTAACAACATTATTATTATTTTTGAGGTTTCGGTCATTTTGATCATTTGGGTTGCGGCTTAAGAAATTATGCTTTCTTTATAATAATTTATAGAATTATAATAGCAATTACTCTTTTCGAATTATATCTACTTATATTAGTCTAATAACCTTATATTTATATTCGTTGAAAAGCTCTTAATAAGACAGTTCTAGTGATTATATTTTCATTAAAATGTAATTATTAAGACGAAAGTTATTTCATTTAACAATAGCTATTATCTTGAAAAAATCAATACTCATCTAATTAATTTATTTAAAGATCCTGTAGATAATGAAGAAACTGAAATTATTAACAAAAAAAATGAAGAATCATTTAAGGATGATGAATAGAATAAATTTTATTCTAATTGAATAATTTTAATAGAAATAGGTTCAAATGCTATCATCAATTACTCCTCTGACCTAGGATCTTATGATATGAATTAGAATTATGATTAGATCAATAATTCTAGGTAATGATTCTCTGATATAAACATTATAGATGCTGATATCTTTGTAAAAAGAGCCTTTGGTGATAAACAAGAAAATCCTAAGAAAAAATCAATCATAAATATTGTGAATTAT